CACCACGCGCATGCCTCGCGGCGGATATGCGCAGCAGCAAGAAGGTTTCGGTCATCCCTTGAGGGTGAGTCTAGCCCTGCTCGCCAGAAAGACCCCCCCCTTCACTACAACCCATGTCTAAACAAAAGCTTGTCGAGGAGCGAGGGGAAGAAGGGAGAATGTGTTGTTTGTTTTGTATTTTTTATTTCGTTGTCTGTTCTGTGTATGCTCTGTGTGTGCTATGTGTGTGGTATGTGCCTTTGATTGTTTGTGTTTCGCCTGTGTTTGGTTGCCATGCTCTCGCTCGTGGGCTCGCTCGTGCTTTTCGCCGTGTACCATCTGTCGCACTATCAGCTCTTCTTCTTTGTGTCTGATGCCTTGGGATTCGACCGATCAACTCCTGTGCTGTGTCGGAGGGACCAACCGTGAATATGGTCGCGTGTGTTCCCCACTTCCCGTGGTCTCAACGAGCTTTGGTCTTAGTCTCTCGGATACTAAATAAAACAAACAGAAAACGCTCTGATGCTTCCAGGAAGTTGCAAAAAAAAAAACTATCATGGAGTCATCCTGGGGGGTGAGAGGGGGACATTTACGCTTTGTTTTTCTCCTGCGTTTCTCCCGCGACACCCGCAACCGCAGGTGACGAACTCACGGGAGACTACGTACTCTACGCTCATTCCAGCGCGGCGGGTGCATCAAGCCATGTACATGTTCGTCACGCAACACCGAGTGTGAAGAAGGTGAAAAAAGCTCACCTTTAGGTCCATGGTGGGCACGTGCCACACCTTCACGCTCGACCCGTAGCTACCGGTCGCCAGAGTGTCCGGGTCTCCCGGCCGGTGCTCGCACGAGAACACCGTCTCGACGTGCCCGGCCTTCGAAGCCCACGGGATCGGCCCGCTACCGCCGCCGCCCCCCCAGCTGCGACTGCTGCTGCTGCTACCCCGACCCGCGGCGGCGCCGCTGCGGCCGCCGGGCCTCTTCCCCCACGCCCGTCTTCCCCCGAAAGCAGTGTCCGCGACGGACAGAGATCCGTCTAGAAAGCCGCAGATCGCCCTGGGGCCGGCACTTGCGGAGCCCCCCAGGTTCGCTTCCGGCTGTTTTGTGTGGGTGATGCGAGGTCAAACGGTACGATGCCGGCGGGGTATTTTTGGTGAAACAACGATTTGAGTGCTTGGTCGTTTGAGCACGTTGTGAAGAAGAATGGATGGTTGTCGTGACCGGGGTGTACTCAGGGAGGACCGCAGTGCTACGAGATGGGCCAAATGATTGACCTGGCAACTGACGAGGGCACGACAAACGCGCACAACACCACACATGCACACGGGGGCAACAGATCAGGACATTTTTTTCGCGCTGTCAGCCTCGCTGAGACTGGCATATCTACATTGGTCAGCCGGCAGCGCGGTCTATGCTAGTTAACACACACAGGTAGAACCTTTTGATACGAAAGCAAGTTCGTGGTTGTTGTCCCGCAATAAGACTGGCGCCTTTTTGTTGGGCAGTCAGCTAGAGCGGTCGGTGCCAATCCAAAAGAACACAGACACACATAAACACCTGCGCAGGCAGCCAGGCCATGTCTCTCACGCCGCTCCCTGTCTCGCCGAGTTTCACGGATCCGATAGGCGTGTGGCTCTGAGAGATGTTGTACACTTTCCCCACGGCCGTCTTGGAGCTGCCGGCAAAGGGGGTGGCAAGCGCACGATCGGACGCACGAGCGTGCCAGTCGGGAGGGCGCGAGGGTGGACGCGTGCGCACGCCAGACAGGAGACGAACACAAACGCTGTGGTTGCGGTCGTTTGTGGGCGATGATAGCCCTTTCAGAGTCTATTCCGGAAAGATTTCAGGTCCACTAAGTCCGTGCGACGTGGTCCGTCGTGTACGACGGCGTTGTGTGTGTATCACACCACGCGCACGTTGTTGCATCCTTCGTTTCTCCGTGATCTAGCTGCCACCGGAACTTGAGACGTTACTCCCATTCCTGGCCTCGACAACCGACGTCAATACGAAACCATGCGACCTCTACAAACACATGTGCGTCCATCTCGATATGGCTACAAAAGTACCGATTGAACTACTCGTTCCTTGCCCGCCGGCTTCTCTCACCTCAGCACCAAGAAATTCCCCGGCGCCCACGCCATCCACCTGATACCGGCCAGGCCCACCGCGCACCGGTCGAATGCGGCCACGGAGTGGTGTCCGGCGGCGTCCCAGAGAACAACAGTCCCGAAGCTGTACCCGACAAGCACGTAAGGGCCTCTGTGCGGATCATGTCTGTCCAACCAACGCAAGTATGGTTGAAAGAAGTTCGAGTTTGAACACGAATGCGGGGGTGGAGGAGAGGCAAACAATCGGGAAAGGACCATGACAGTTCAACGCGGGAAGGGGGATTGCTATTTGAAGAAATTCGAGATTCAACAACATTAGTGGAAGTGGAGGGAGAGGCAAGTAGTCCGAAAGGATAGAGGTAGGGATGGGGGGAGGGTTTCGGAACGAGGTGGGGAAGCGTACCCTTAGTCGTCCCTCTATACGTAGCCTTGACTGATCTGGACGAAAAGGAGGACCGGGCCTGAGACAAGCGCATTGATGCGTTTATCTGTCGGTCTTGCCTACTCAACTCAACACGGGGGGAAGCGTGGTGCCGGGGTGGTCGGACTCAACTGCCGCCTCGCTTCCACGTAAGGTAAGATAAGCATACTTGTACGCAAAGAAAAGGCTAACGAGGCTTTCGAAGATGCGGCTCGGGTGTATAATATACTGGGGACCCTGTGCACATCGCGTTTGCACAGGAAGTTTTTCAGTCCCTCAGCTATGGCAATTCGTCGGCCTTGCACGGCACGACCAACGGGTCACCTCTACCAACCTTCCACCACCGGAAGGCTTACAGAGTTTTCGGCACGTTTCGACACTTGTCGTCTTGCCTGAGATCAACGACTGAGCCCCCAACCTCGCTGGGGAACACCAGCTTGGTTTTCCCTCCGTTCCCGCCGCCCTTTCCCACCGAAGGCGACGAAGAAAACGACACACGCCCGTCCGTCCACCCAGCCACCAGGACCCCGTGTTCGTATCGACTCCACTCCGCGCACGTGGCTGTTAGGGACTTGTTAGAGGACCTGTTCGGAACAAGGTGTTGGCGTGCTTCTCAAAGCCGAAGGTTGTTCAGCTGCGTGGGGGGTGTGGTGTCCAGCTCCTGCTGTGGTCTGTGTTTGGCTATTGATCGTTTCGTCCCTGTGTCGGGCGAACCTCGACGGGTCGGTTCATGACGAAGCTGTTTGACTTCCGACACCAGCAAACGTAGTTGATAAAATATTTATCCCACGCCTCCCCCCGCCCCCCCTCCCCTCACCCTCCTACCCAAGCACCTCGTGTAGCCCTTACGGAACCCCCCCCTTCCGGGATCATCGTTCCGCATCAAGTATGTATTGTTGCCCCCTCTGGAAATAACGGCAAAGTTGGATGGATCCGCAGGGTCCCAGGCCGAGCGCGCCGGTGGGGCGCCGACGTCAAAGTCGTACACTTGCTGTTCGGACCGCACGTCCCACTCCGAACCGCGGCCGTTGGTGCTGCCCGACGTCACATGAAGAAGAGGAGTCGGTTGAACAGATACAAAACAAGAAGGGTGGGAGTCAGAAAAATCTGTTGGAGTGGTAAGTGTACGCATTTCCCAGCGTCTCAGGTAGTCCAAGGCGCTACACGGAGAATACAAGGGCTGGCACAGCGGTTACTGTGCGTGGTCAACGAACGACACAAGTACGACCTAGGAGGTGACATCACGCCAGCCGGATCAGGCGTGTGCCATTTTCCTCACCGCGCTCGCGTCGAAGCTTGAGTACAAGGAGGTAAATCGTGCCCAAATTCTCGGTTAGTTCAGACACTCGCCTCAAAACCCTGACCCGGTGGGGGTTGGTCGGGTGCCACAGTATGGAGTGCACGTTGCAGTCGTTGCCGCCCAGAATTGTAACGAGAGAGAAGTCTCGGACGTCGTATACGTATGTGGTGAGGGTAGAGGCGTACGCCATGTAGACCCCTCCTCCCGTGACTATCTGCAGAGGACAGCACGAAGTGTCACAGGCAATTTTCTTGTTTCTGGGTAAAAAACACCGACAAGCGTTTCATGTGGTGCAGTTGGAAACGGTTCGAGGGGTCTTTCTGATGGTCATGGAAGGGGGTTAAAAATAAGGCATCAATAGGAATACTTTCGGCTCTACGACCAGTGAGAACACGTCAGTTATCAGCGCGTGTGTGCAAAAGATGATATGCGATCGATCCCATGAAGGAGGCCGACCAAGGAGGTTTGGGCTGGGATGTACCCGGCACGATTGAAAGTTCTCCGACATTCCCGAGTAGGAGAGCCAGGACCAGCCGGCAAAGCCCAAGTCGCGTCATGCCCACGTCTACATCATTGTTGGGTTCAACAACACAGAGAAAGGAGCGAGACGCTTGCCATATTCTAGGGGATACGGTATGATCGCGGGAGTGTGACGAGCGCAAGGTCTTTATTCTTATGCAAGGGTTCGACGAACCGGAAACATCTGTCGCATGCCGGAACGAGTCTCTTTCTTAGTCATATAACATGATATTCGTGGCCAGGATAGCTTGAGGGTGGTTGGCTCCAGACCTGCTTTTCGCAATATGAACATGAGGGCTGATGCTATGTGAGCATCAGGCATCTTTGTCAGGCTCGAAAGCGATATCTCTACGCGTGTTATAGATTAATAAGCATCTACAGGCTCTTGCGGTGATTGCCGCCCAAATGCACACATAGATAGGGTTTGCCAACCCCTTTGTTCACATGTCATACGTTCCGGTTTCCGCCTTTAAGCAGTCGATCGGCTGTTCCTTCTTGGAAGATGCGGCATCTCTATTTTAATGCATCCTCCATCCGGCATTGTCGTCAATGGACTTGACTGTACTGCAACGGCAGGCATCACCGAACTCACAGTAAACGTTCAACATGCTCCTCCCTTGCCAGATGCTATGTACACATGCCCACAACCACGAAGTCTGGAACCATCCACTACGTAGTCTACGGTCGTAGTTCTCTCGACCAATAGAGTTCTTGCAATGGACTAAATACAGCAGTCCTACACAGACGAAACTACGGAGGACCTGAGGCAGAGCGACAATAACACGACGGATGCCGGAGAGTACAATTTTCTTCGGACTTCGGTGGTCGCACGACGCGCCAGGAACATTTTCTGCTTCTTGAGAAGGGGCCAGACCCGGGAGCCGGAAGACAGCGAAACATCCTCTCGTGTCCAAAAAAGGATGTTGCACTTGTGGACATGAACGAAGTGTGGGTGTACCTGAGATGACCACTGCTGGCATCCCGACGGATGAAGCTTGATCTGCTTCATGTATGATTGCGGTGGCCGCATATGATGTTGCACGTTATCCTTCCTCCGGAGAGAAGGCCCCCTGGGTGGGGAAGGTGGAGAGCATGGAGCGGGTGAAGGCGAGTCCCTTCTCCGAGATGTACGCCGCCGTGGGCTGTTCGTCGCCATTTTTTTCAGCAAGGAAACATAATATCGACGGCAATAACAACGCAAAATGAATGCATAACGTCAACCTTTAGGCAGTATCCAAAGCTCGCCCCCCTTCGTGGTGGCGATTGGGCACGAGACGATGAGTTTGTTTGGACAGGAGAACACAACATGAGCAACCGCGGCACGCGGCACCTCCACCGTTTCGTTGTTCGGGTTTCCTCACCCCCGAAGCGATATAAGTTGCCCCGCCCTGGACCCGCTGTTGCGCCGCAGGTCCGGTGTGCGGTGGACGCTAGTTAGACGCTGGGGCGCTGGGACCTACGCTTAGTCTGGAGAAGGGGTTAATGCAGAGAGGGAGACACCCGACAATAAGGGAGCGTAGGACATTCCACAAGGCTTGTAGTGGAGGGATAGAAGGAGAAAGGAAAAGGGAAACGGAATTGATCGACTACCGCACGGCGGACGCCCGACCTCAGCAGGTGCAGAGCTTCGCGACAACAGCAACGGCACGGACTAGACCGTTGGAAGCCCTCTCTGAGCTCTCCTTGGCATGGCGGATGCTGACAGATGCAGCAACGGTGGCTTATACCTTGGCCCCGTGCTCAGGCCGTTAAGTTCGGACTCTGAGTTTTTCGATGAGGGAAACACAAATCGAGCACTACTCTGCAAGCTGAACGTGTTTGCGATCATGAGCGGGGGTGCTGATGCCGTTGACCTCCACGAGGACCAGCACCAGTACGAATGTATGTTTCAGGACTGTACTGCCACCTTCTCGTCGCTGAAGAGGGTAAGTCCTGGTTAGGGTCCTTCTTGTCACTATGTAGTTATCATAAGACAGCATCTTGCTGTGTGCTTTGCAGTCTTACACGGCCGTACGGCTGTGCTCGAGTCAATGCAACAATTGACCATGAGTGTTTGCGCAACCAATATTTGAGGTGTGGGCTAGCTCACGTGCTCAGTCATAGAAGAACGGTGCTCTGAGGCTCTCCTGCTTCCTACAGCAAGCACAGCTGTTCGTGTATGTCCTCAGGGATGCAGCCGCGTAGAAGAATCGGCCGTATCTCTGCCGTAGCGGCCTCATACAATTGTAATCTATCAGCGAGGCAAGCTTTTTTTTTTTTCTCCATCATTGGACTCTGTCNCACATAGGAGGGGGGGGTTGGACCCCCTCCTGCGGTTCCTGCCTGAGATATTTTTATCGCGAGAAGGGTACAGCGATCCCTTCCTTCGCGACTTACTAAGTCGAGTATGGTTTACTAACAACGAGCTTTGCAGCGCGTGGCTTTCATCCTAGACCAGGATTTATTTAGTGAGAAAAAACTCACTCTGCCGGGACTCGAACCCATGACCTGGCCCTTAGCAGGCTGCGAGGGTACCCACTAGACCACCGGGGCGACCAAGTGTAACGGTCCAAATATCTGTCTCAGCTGGTGTGCTACTCGGGTCGTGGGGACGCCAAACATTTCGGCCAGCATCCAACTGATCAGCGCTGCTCATCCGCAAACGTCCGCCTTCCGCTCAATCAAAATCCGCATCGACCTTTCAGCACGAGGAGCACTACGAGACGTCGCACAGACACCGCTGTTTTACCTGCGGGCGCAGCTTCCCGACCCACCGACTGCTGGACCTACACCTTAGCGAGGCGCACGATTCCTTCTTCAAGGCCATGGCGGAGCGAAGGCCGATGTACGCGTGCCTGGTGGAAGGGTGCTCGGAAGTGTTTGAGTCGTCGGGAAAGCGCCACAAGCATCTCGTAGTGGCTCACCTCTATCCTGAGAGCTTCGATTTCAGCAGGCGAGAAATGACCGTGTTGAACCCGACGAGTATTTACTCGAGAGATAAATAGAGGGGGAGAGAGAGAGAGAGAGAGCCCGCACGAGCCAAATTGGCAGATCACGTCGCTTTTTTAGTTGGCTCACTATTATTCATTTTTCTCACCCCACGGTCTCGTTGTTTGTGTGGCTGTGACTCAACAGGTATCGGCGTGCCTTATCACGGTATGTAAACGTTGGACATCCACGGGTATGTTTGTCCGGGTACGTGTGTCCAGCAGATGTGTGTTTTACTTCAGGGAAAGGATGTAAGCATCTACCACCACCCGACAGAACGGCACTGCTGTTGTCCCCTACTTTTGGAGTACACATNTTCGTCGCTTGGCAACGACGTTGTAAAACAAGCCAATTCACTTCGTGAACTCGGCAACCAGGTTACCGTTTTTTTTTGTACCTCTGTTTTTTTTTTTGCGGTAACCATAATGGTGGTCGAGTACATCATGTTGTGCGGGGTCGAGAACCCTCGCGCTGCGCAAGGGGGATGATCGCACAACGTTATGTTCAAATGGTCAAGCATCCTCGAGGTAGTTACACAGTGCTTATATCTGTCTCTGGAAGTGAAAGCACCAGAAAATAGACGAAGTCATGCGTAGCTGTCATCCGTACGCAAGGAAGTAAGCACAAGATGCCGAAGACCCTTATCAGGATGCAGCGCACCCTTCATGCGACTCACCGAATACCTCACGGCGCTTCGCGCTTGGTGATGTGCGAGCCTGGTCCGGTGAGAACCCGGCGTGCTCCGTCCCGGCTTTATAGGGATGCGAGGTCAATGGTCTACCGACTACGGCATGCACGACTATGAGTATGAGTATGAGTACGCCCCCCCCCATCCCGTCGTTTTTTGCTGCTGCCATATACGACGTTTCACTTTTTTCTCAGGCCATCGTACACGCGAAAAAAGTCAAGAACAAAGAGAGCAAAGGACACAGGGAGAAAGGGAGGGAATCTGCGCGCGGAATCAGCGGGAGACGGGCGGAAGGGCAAGCTTCCCGCGAGGGCAGCAAAGGCTGGCGTGAGCGAGGAAGCGGAGATGGTTGCCGCAACACAAGGGGTGGAAACATCTCACCCCCATTCGGCGCCTGGACCCACGGACAAGAGCTCGCGGAGGACTGGCCAAGGCCCAACGGCTCCACAACCACCACTCGCTACCGCTGCTACTGCTGCTGATGCTGCTGCTGCTGCTGCTTCTCCGCGGATGGCGTGCAGGTTCTGGCGCACGGCCGGCGGGTGCCGCAGGGGCAACGATTGCAAGTTTGTGCACGCGGCAGGCGCCGGTGGTGACGCACCAAAGGGAGTCAAGGCCAAGGAAGCTTTTGTTGTGGGAGGTGCGACTGCTTCGAGGTTGGTGGGGTCGGGTGGCGGCAGAGGAAGCCGCAGGAGCGGTGGCAATGGCGACGGCGGCGGCAGGGGTGGTGGTGGCGGCGGCGGTTGGGGAGGGCGGTCTAATTTAGGCAGAGCGGGTGCTCGGGATGATGTTGATGTGGTTTTAGACAGCGGCGGGGTGGGGAACGGTGTTGGTGTGGCGTCGGCAGAGGGGATGATGTTGATGGAGGAAGATGAAGATGGTGTTTCTTCTTCCAGTGGCGTGGAGGAGCTGATCAATGGGATGAGTAAGCTCTTGATTCCCCGCCAGATGGGCTGTGGGAGTTCGAGCCGGCGGGGCGATCCGATCGTTTGATGGTGTACGATATGCTGGGCAACAAGCGTGCAGCGTGAGTGCGAATGTACATGGTGGGTCCTCAAAGTACAGCCCATTTACTCATCTGTTTTTGACCATAGCAACGCGTTTTTAAAGTGGACGGATTCTTCGAGCAAGGTTATGTAGTCGGACTAGTGCTAGCTGGGTCACGGCGGGAGGGGATGAGCTGATGATAATATGGAGAGAGAGCGACATATATTTCCATAACTGTAGAGGAACGATACGCCTTGCGTGTGGCTGCTCCCTTTCTTGTGTGATGGAAGGGGAGATTCGGACCCGTCTGTTGCTTGACGCCGCGGCGCTATAAAATTGAAAGATCTATTTTACCATTGACTTGAAGCGGCCACAACCACTCTGGATACCTTCCCCCACCCATTTTCCGCCGACATTCGTCACAATGTATGTACATCAGGAGTAGATGATATGCCCGCCCTCCGGTACGCTCACAAAACAGCACCAGATCGATTTGCAAATCCACCGCGTCGACATGAAACGAAACCCAAATCAACTTAGGTTACACAGCCATGTCGCCCTTTCCTTCATCGTCCGCACTCAGAGCTATCCCGTTCAACCCCCCCGTCCCAGCCCCGTTTGCCACCGCCGCGTTCCCTCCCACGGACGGCCACCCCGTCTCCTGCACCACCCCGCCACTCAATTCTCCGCCGCTTGTTGCGCTCGAAAATCCCGCCCTGGGTAGTGCCACCTGGTTGTGCTGCTGTTCCTCCTCCTCCTCCTCTTCCTCCTCCAACCCCTGGCTCCGCTTTTCCAAAAGACAGGAAGATCCTTGGTACGGACCCCGCAGCAGCGCGTCTCTACTCGCCTATCCTCCCGATGATGTCTCTGCTTCCACAAACCCTCTACTATCGCCGTCGCCCGGGGGTCTTTTCCAAGCACTCGATTCGGGGCTAGTTTCTCCAGCAGGCCCCCCTTCGACCAGCGCTGGGGCTGCGTCAGCACCCCCCACCGAGCCTCCACGAGCGCCTGATTCGTCCAGGGTAACGTTTTCAGGACGACTGCTGCTGTCGGTCTAATTCCTAGGCGGCGTTGAAAGCGTCCGATCTTCAACAACGCCCCGAGAGTAGCTCGGGGCGAGGCCAGTGCCGTCAGCCCCCGCATCCACCACTTTCTTTTCACTCGGACGCCGCCGTCCGGTACAGGGAGAACCGTGTCCTTTGTCCCCCCCGCCCTCTTCCTCAGGGGGTACCCGGCCGCTGTTTTTTTCTTCTGCCTCGGGACCCGCTCGCCCGACGCTGCTACACCTATCGCTGTGAACCCCTTGCTCCTCTTCCTCGTCCGGGAATATTCGCGAGTTCCCGGCCCGAAAGAGCCGATCATCCCCTTGAGCTCTTGATTCGGCTGCTGTTGCCGCCGCTGCCTCCTTCTCCTGGAGGGCCTTTTCTTTGGCCTGTCGTCTCTCGTTTCTGCGCTCTTTTTTCCGCGCCTCCGCCCAGTCGTCTCGCCACTTCATATCCGCCGCGAAGATCTCCTCGGTGGCCTCAAAAGTCCGCCGTACATCCGCCCGGTACCCCTGCGACGTCGGGGTTTATATTGTGACGAGGGACGAGGAGAGCGTCAGGTTCGAGTGGAGTGCAGAAGTTTTGGCGTGTTCTGTCTCTGGGAGGAAGCGAATATCCTGGTCTTCTCCATGAATGGGCAGGTTACCGCTTTCGTTTGCTCTCAGCGGCCAGTTGGCGTCCTTGAAGTGGCATACAGGAGTGTGTTCTTGTTATTGATGTGTTTTCGTCCTACTTATTGTGGCGACAGTCCCCCCATTTTTTGTGGTGAGACATGTACTACACTTTTTCAGTGTATGTGAAGTATTGCACTTTTCAGTGTGTTTTTTCGTACAACTACAACCATTCAGGGTCACACACGAGGGGGTACTTTTTCCTTCTTTTTATTTATTTTCATGCCCCACCTTCCTCCTGCGGTGCGTGCTGAATTATTATTTTTACCGCGAGAAGGGTCCAGCCGTCCCTTTCCCTCGTCAACGGTGCTAACGTCGAAGTTTGGTACTCACGAGAGCTTTTCAGCTATATTTCGCTTGCACCCGCAATTTTTGTAAATTGTTCACCCCATGGGAATTCGAACTCACGACCTCTGCGACTAGGAGTTGTACGAGGATACTACTAGACCACCGGGGCGACCGGCTTTGAGGGCATGTGAATCAAGGCGCTGGAAACTGGCGAGGTAGTTCACACAACCCTCCCCTTTGATTTCGTTGACAAAAGCATGCAGGTACCCGAAGCATACGTCCCACCACAACCAAGGCACGAATCGCAACGTAGTTACTCGCGATGGAGACGTTGGCTGGTGAGAGGTGTCATCTGCATGACTTCCACCAATCACTGGGGATGATTTTCTTAACCTGCTCCCGTATTTCAATTCGCTGGGGTCCGCTTGGAACCGCCCCGACCCAGCACTTCTTCGAAAGCATCAACCGCACTAATCCTTTTCCACGAAATATATCCTACTCGTGCAGCTTTCATAGTCGATCTGGCCCCCCTCACCACTTCGCCCGTAATAGTCTCGTATCAACGGCGAGGCCTCATTCTTGCTCCCGTACAAAACTCGAACCCGCCGTGGCCAAGAAAAAGGGGTCCGCAAAGAGCCATTGCATACTGCCAAACCTTGAGTGTTTCTTTGGCCCTCTTCCTGGTCTTGTCCTCGATGGCGTCGTCGTCCAACGCGGGCGTCACCACGATGCCCCTCAGGACACCCACGAACCAGCACACCGCGGCGAGCACGCACGTCGCGAGGAACGCTCCCACGGCGATCAAGACCCCGACGGGCACGAGGGTCAGGATCAAGATGGGGCCGACGACGGCGAAAAGGACGGCGCTGCACGCCCACCACGCGTGTCTCTTCGTTTCTGCTGCTGCTCGGCGGGCGGGCAGGGCCATCAGCTGGTTGTGCAGCTTCTCCATCTCTTCCTACGGGTTGGGGCGGGGCAAAGGGTGGAGGTAGGGCGGAGGGTAATATTGTGTTGTATCGTCTCCACCGTCGTGTAGTAGCACCTGGCCTATCCCAGTCAACAAAGACGGGGGGAAGGGCGGACTCAATACGCATAAGCTTGTTCGTCGAATGCCTACACACGGCCCCTTTTTTCACGTTGGGCAGCATCGTGTTTACCCCTTACAAAAGGCATTTGGCAGCGTGTACACTTGGGTGCGTGCTACGACTCTTAGTCTTACCTGCAAAACCTGTTCCTCGGCGATGCGACGCGCCTTAGACTTGAGAAACTTCTGGAACTTGGCCAACTCCTTATCAAGGCTAGCGTGCGACGTGTCCCAAGCTTTCGCGTTGACACCGGCGTGGGCAGCCTTCAGTTGCTTTAGTCTCTCCCTCTCCCCGTGTACCTTTGTTTGAATGGCGAAACGGGTGTGCGAGCGGAGCCCAACACAACGACCAGAGGGAATAATTGGCGAGCGTGACGGGAAAACCCTTGAATCCGCACGCAACCGGTGCAAAAAAAATATGCTTTGCGACTGGAAATCCTCCCTGGAGCAACTGTCACTCATTGCACAATAGAACCGTCACTTCATTCGGTTTGTGTACAAAATGGAAGGGTGTGGCTGTGACCAGGAGGACAGCGTGATGGTATTCCAAGTTTACCTCTTCTTCGTGGCGTTTCTCGCGTTCGACGGTGGCCTTCCGAAGGAGCTTTGTGTAGGCGTCTAGCACAGTGGGGTTTGTCAGCCCCGGAACCTTATTCTCGACGAAGCTGATGAGGAGTCGAAGCTGACCAGCATTCAGTTGCGATATCCTGCATTCATTTCATTTAGCAAATACTTAGTAGTAAAATGTCATGGCGAATATGTGCGTGTCCTCCCTTACGTACATCGATCCGGCGGATTACGTGGGATAGGGTGTGGGTTTCCTCTTGCGCAACGCTGCCGTCCACCAGCACCGCCTACTTCGTCGAGTTGCTGTGCTGCGAATCAGTGGTGGGGATCTCCTCCGCTTCCTATTCTTGGCGGTGGGCGACATCTTTCGGAAAATCAGTTTCCAACAAGTTAGCTACAGCTACCATTCGGTAGGAAAAACTGCAAAGTGAAACACACGACTAGATGGGACTGCATCCCCTCGCTCCCAAGTCTGCGATCGATACAATGTCTGCGGCGCCGGAAGCACATTTTCATTCTTGTGCCTAGAAAGGAGAAGCCCCACTAGTTTACAATCATGAACGGGCGTGTGTTGCAGCTCCCGCCTGACCTTTCATCCATCTTTTCCAGCATCCCTGTGGCGTACATGTCTTCCGACAGGAGGCTCTGGATGAACCCGGCAATCGAAGGCATAATATCTGCTGTAGCTTGTGCTGGTGTCGTTCCTTTGTTCGACCTCAACCTTCTTATTCGGGGCACTCCTGAACCAACCCAGGCTGGCGATGGAGCGAGAGAAGAGATTAAGATTCGACCCAAATGATTGTCGTCGCGCCGCTGCTCGTCCGATGAGAGAGGTGAGTATGTGGCGGTCCAAGCTTGGGCGATCCATTCCAAAGAAAAGATCGCGCCGCAAGCAGGTGCGTGGTGGGGTGGTGTTGAAGATCGTCAGAAAGTGCCAGCACCGAGCACACTCGTTGAGCTGATTGTAACTGGAGCAACTACAAAAGATGCAGCACGCATCCATTTGTTCTCCGCAAGAGATGCATGGTCCGCAACACGCAAGCGACCGCGTCATCATGCAATCATCGATGGCGACGTCATTCCCAACCGCGACGTGCAACGGTTACATGGGCATGATCAAAATCATGGGCTCATACCCACGAAAACAACGGCGCGTTGTTGTGCCGCCTTTCAAACTCATGGACACATACCTCCGATGTGTGTTCTCCAGCACCAGGGGAAACGAGAATCTCAACGAATCCCTCCGAGACCGAGAGAGATGTAAGTCGGCACCACAAAAGCGTCGCCCAGAATCAATCGAGGTGAGTGGATCATCTCGTGGCGATGGGGGTGAATTGCTGATGGGAGAAAACGGAAAACACGCAGATGAAGGCAGCAGAGCGATTGAGAGACGACGGCTGAATTTGAGAGCCTGGGTTTGGACCTTTCTCTAGATCGTTTAGCGGACATTTTTGACTTTGATCACTCTCCGGCGCTGTGGGATGTACCCAAGGACGTCTCTGGACCAACCCCCCCGCTGGAAGGAAGTAGCGTGGCCCTTTTTCGCAGCTGAGGGGCTGAAAATGAAAAACTGTTGAAGTTTCTGCGCCAGGGAGGGAAGGTCCAGTCTGTTCATACATAAAGCCCAAGAGGTTTGGTTTGGCTTACCCCGAAAGCGAGTCTCATTGTTGTGTGAAGAGTTTTTGATGCTCCTGCTCTCTTCTTGTCGAAGGGCACAGGTGGGCTGTGTTCTGGGGCACTAGGCTCTCCATGCTCGAACCACCGCAACAGGACGTGACGTCCTTCAAGGCACGAACCCATCACGGAAGCGGGCAGAAGGAGACCTACGACCTGAAGGTAAGAAAAAAAGAGATAAGAGCCTCATGCCATCTTGCCATCCTCTGTCCGGATTGTTGCCCCTGTTGGCTGAAACACTGGCTGCGTCTGTAGATGTATCCGTATGTTCTGTCGTCTGTGTTGTAGAGAGCGGGAGTGACATCACGAGCGCCTCTGACCAGCTCCAGACACCGACTAGGGGAGAGCGTCCAGTTCCAGCCATGCGCACACACGCACACAAGCAAACCGTTATTCTACCGTACTGCTGTAGTCGAGAGCGAGGACGTGCATGCTGTCAAGGGCACGCCGGCTTCCGGTGTGTATATCACATACTACATGCTGTGGTTGCCTCATGAACGCCAGAATTGTTGTTCCTGTTTAGCTGTGTAGCCCTTTTCTCTGTGGAACCAGGTCAATCGCTTCCCATTTCGAGTACATGCAACCGTTGATGATGGCGTTTTCGATACCCCGCCACGGCAGCAGTAGCCATGCCCACGTAAAAGCTTGAACCGCGAATTTCGATTGCCCACGTCCTCCCTTCCCCCGCGACTGACCTTGGTTGGAAATCATGATAAGTCTGTCCCCTTTCTTGTTCGCAGTGTGTGCGCATTGCACAAGTGACTGACTGCACACAGGAAATTCGCACCACCGCTGGGATGTATAGCGCTTGTGGTGTAGGCACGCAGATCAACAACGTATGATGCTGCTGTTGGAGCCGGAGTCTATGGTCTATGGGCGTATTTTGCACTTGAGTAGATCCGAACGTGTGAGAGCAACAGAAGGTTAAGCGTTAAGCATCGACGGAGCTTATCTGTGCACCAGAGTCCAACGAAACGCCAATAATATGTCAGACAGAAGTTCTAGAACACAAACTGCCTGTGCTTTTTTGCTTTCTGTTCGGGCTTTCCACAGCTGTTCTTTGGAAAGGATCGTTTGTAGAGGCGCTTTGCTTGTCGTTACCGTATGCATACCCGCTCTCTTTCATGCAGCATCCTGGTGTAGCGTTTTTCGGCATGATAACATGTGTAGGTGCTGTTAGCGCTGGCCTGAAGTGAGGGTACAAAAAAAAAACAGCTGTGTGTCTGTCCATCCCCATCTGGCGCCAGTCTACTTGTACGCATGCACCGTTGGTACTTGTCGACGCACACATACCAATGCATCTGGCGGTGTCACACAAGGGGATTTGTTTTGTTCTTGTCTTGTCCCCCCCCCCCCCCCGCGCGCGGTGCGTGCCTTGCATTGGTTTTGATCGCGGGAAGGGTTCAGCAGTCAGCCCCGACCCTTTGCTATGTATGCCCACGAACCCTTCGCATTCCACCACGGGAAGTATTAGGAAACATAAATACACAGAACGACCACCCATCCGAGATATAATCACAGATGTACGCATACAAGCTCTTCCCTCCCCCCCCCCCCCCCCCC